GCCGGGGGGGGGCGGACGGGGGGGCGGAGGTGGGGGAGACGGGGAGGTGTCACCGGCCTGTCGCGGTGGAAGTGTTTGGAAAGTTTGTTGTCGGCGCGGCGCGGCGCGGCCTGGAGCCTCCGGGGTTACCTTTGGTTCTGTTTTCAGAAAACCGCCAGGGCCTTCACCTGTAACCGGGTCCCGGTGTCTCCGCCCGCAGCAGAAACAGGAGGTGCGAGCTCTTGCTCAGAGCACCTGATGCTCCGGGCCTTCTAAATGGATCCTGAGACAGTCCTCTCCCGGATCGGCGGTTGCTTTTCCTGCCTAGAGACTCCACTCGGGCACTGGTATCGGTGCTGTAGAAAGCGCCTAGGCGGCTGGGCTGGAACCCACCGCAGTGGGGAAAGGAGTATGACAAGGAGGAGAGATTTTTAAGGGAAAAGAAAAAGAAAAAGCACTTGTTGGGTTAAATATTATGCTAAAAGAATCACTGGTGTTTTTATGTTCTGGATTCTTGGGAAGATGATTTAGGGTTTCTACCTTGTAAAAAGGTAGAAGTGGGTGATGGAAGGTTAACTAGACAGCTTGTGAAGTTTGGTTCAAAAAGTAAATAAATCCCTTCTATGATGGAAGATCCATGAAATGTACTTGATCTCTTATTTTCCAGCATACAGCTTTGGGTAGCTATTCTTAATCTCTTTTGGGGGTCATGAGCCCCTTTGAGAATCCGATAGGAGGTATGAGTCCTCTCCTGAAAAAAGGCACAGCTACACTGAATTTTGTAATTACTTCAGGAAGCTCTTGAATGTTCTGCGGCTCACTCTGAGCTTCAGGTTAAGAACTCCAGTTTGTAGAGATGGGTGATAATCCAAAGTCTAGGAGAAGGAGGATCAGTTCAATTGAGAAAAATGGTGAAAGGCAAAAGGGATGTCGTTGACTATTGCAACATGTATGACTACCCTGGAGTTGCCTGGGCTAACGCACAAAAACACAAATTAGGAGGCTTGATGGAGCTCAGTGGAGGCCGAGACTCATGATGATCCTGGATGTTTGTAGAATGAACTTTTGCACAGTGATGCTGTTGCAATGTAAGGTGTGTACTTCGATGGATTCCATTGGAAGAGGAAGAGAGCATATTTTCTAAACATAATCTTGGTAGTTCCATGGGATGGACATTTGACATCTGGAGTTTACTTCGCATGAGGCAGCTTTTAACTGTAGAAATGTTGGGATCCAATGAAAAACAATGAATTACAGATAAAGGCTAGTGGTCCCGTCATGAAGTGAGAAGGATAGGGTTTTTGGGTCTTGAGCTAAATTCTTCCTCGTTTACATATGTGAGAATATGCCACATTTCCCATCAGTAATGGCAGAGGCGTCCCTAATGTTGGATTTTTCACCTGAAGACAGGTTTGCGGGGTTCGAATGGGTTTGCAGTTCAAGTCTAGTATTTTAAGGTGGCACTGTTTGAAAATCCCCTGTCCCAGTGATAATTTTCCCATTTCTTGAAGTGTGTACAGCCAACAGGGGGAGCAGTGTGAACTGTGAAATCTGAAAATTTGCTAGCCTAGCTTCATAGTAAGGTAGGCTACAGGCTGTAATACCATTGATTGGGCACTTCCTTTAAAAGGCAGGCAGAGGCTTGGCTGGATAGCCCTCACTTGTTGCTTGGCTATTGTCAACTTAGTGTGAGGTAGGTGTTCCCATTTTACAGGTGTAGAAACTGAGGTGCAGAGAGGTTAAGTACCTGCCTGGTAAATAGAGTGCATTCGAGTGATGGCAGAGGCCTGGGTGCAGCTGTGCCCTCACATGAGGAGTGCCCAGAGGGATGGTCTTCTGGGCATGTCAGCACAGGACTCAGTCTAAGGAAGTCCTCGGTGCCAGTGCCCATGATGTCTTCCCTGGGGTTGCGCCTGAATGTCCTGACTGTGCTGGAAGCAGGAGGGACATCTTCACATGGAAGGACAGCCTGCTTATTTATTTCCTTGGGCAGATGGCTGAACTGTGTGACCCTTGGAGCCTGTTTCAGCCTCACGCTGTCAGAAAGCAGCTGTTTGGAAAGAGGCTCTGGTTCATCCTCATTTGAAGGCTGATATTCTGAACGGATGAGGCTTGGAATCCTCCCTTTGGGAAAGAGAACTATGCGATGATTGTGTTAAAGGTAAAATTGGTCATGAGGGAGAGTGGCTCCCTGCAGCTCTAGGGTGGCTCTGTGTTGGCAGAGGTGGCTGCATCTATGTGTGAAGGTAGTGAGGAAAGCAGAGAACGTGGAAAGAAGTGGGTTCTGATTTGCACTCTTTCTTCTGGGTAGCTCCTCTTCATGTGGCTTTCTGCAGTGTGATGTAGTTCTGCCCCCGTGACGCCCCTACAGCAGTTACTGAGCTGAGTCCAGAGATGGGGAGGTGAGGTCCCCATGCTAATGAGAGATGAGAATGTAGGTTCTGCTCTTCTGCCATATGTTTCCTAAGAGGCATCAGTCACAGCAGCAGCCTTTAGAGATGAGGGGCCTGAAAAGAAGCTTGGGGCAGTTTGTTAAAGCAGATCTGGGCCTCTAGGCTGCCTTTAGCACAGCTTGGGGTGGAGGAAAAGGCGACTCTTGAGTGTGTCCCCTTGATTTTGTGTCCTCATTCCCTGAGCCACCTGATGAGAGGTTTGGGTGGGTGAGGAAAGTGCGTGATGAGCTGAGAAGTGCTGTAAAAATGAGAGGAGCTAGAAAGGTTCGTCCTTTTCGAGTTGATGACGTGTGGAGAGCCTTCCCTGGCACTCTACTTTGTCCCGTCTTGAGGGGTGTCTTCTGTGGAAATGTACTTTGATTAGAGCTCAGAGCCGCTGCTGAAGACGCTTGATGCAGAAATGAAATCCTCGGCAGGTGCGAGGACTAGGGCTGGTTTTTGCCAGCTTTTGCCTTCCGTGTGATGACAGCTGGCCGTAGGGGTGCGGAGCAGAGCGCAGTTGTTTTCAAGGCAAGTTCAAAGGGCTGATCACCGGGGAGGAAGTGCCCGTGTGGAAACTAAGTTTTGGACAAGTATCACTCAAGCCTTTTCAGTAGTGCATTCTTCTGTAACTGGATCACAGTTTTTACTTGTTCAGTGTGACACCAGGCCCTTGAAACAGATATTTGAATATTGAGAACTTGGTATGGATCTTGTCTAGCTGAATCAACAGGCAGAGTGCATTTCCCCAAAATTTGTGGTGAACGAGTTCTGATGCTAATGTCTTAGAGGAGAAAGGCCTGTTGGGTTCACGATGGTTCTTGGAATCTGTTTTCAGTGCTTGATGTTGCACAAAATCTGTCCCCATCCTTTTAGTCTAGAAAATGTTCCTGATTTAGACTGAAATTTTTACTCCAAGAAATTCCAAGTTGTTTTGAGTGT